AATGATTCCAGCACATATTATTCGTGCAATCTAATTTTTATCACATAAAGACTAGAAATACGTTTTAATTTTAAATAAACAGTATTTTTTTGTAAATGATGAACTTCACTAAGAATAAACATTTCGGACATATATGCTCATAAAAATACCAACCTTATTTTTAGCACCTATTGTGAAACAAGCGTTTAAGCGATGAATCTAAGATTCGAGGTTTTGCCTCTTCTTCGAATCATGTCACTTTGTGTCTGTGCCTGCTCCGCTAAACTTCATATTCATTCGTGGGTCAATGCAATTACCAGTAAAGCGATCCATGATTTATCAACATAATTGTCTTCGATTACGCAAGAATACATGCCCTCCGTTGCCACCATAATCTTCTCTGATACGTATCATGAATTGCTAATGTATTACCAATACATGCATCTCGGCAGCGATATTCGATCCACGCTTCGGATTTCGAATGTAATGCTAAATCGGATTAATCATCGAACCATGTGTACATCAATGTAGCATTATTGACGATCGTGCACGGGCTGATGACGAAGTGGTAAATGGCTATTTGTCATAAAGTCGCTAGCTCCGTCATTATTTGGAAAAAATCATCGAAATATAAACTGCTTTGGTTTAACTGATACCCATGAGAGAATCATATAATGAATAAAGTTTCGACAATCCAGCGATTTACAAACAATAAATGCTAATATGGTTAACGAGAATGACAAATTCGTAGAACAAATGCAGATAAAGCTTAGTACATTCGCGTTGAAATATTTTGCAGAAATAGTTATCTACAAGCTCCTGCCTCTACGTGTAATAAATGACGATTGACATGAGCCTGATCTGTGGATTTCGTATCTTAAAGTGGAGTTAGTTCCATATCCACAAAAACTATGCTACAGTATATCGAGAGAACAGTTAAATGGGTACCTTTTTTATAAATGAAATTAATTGGAAGATCGAATGGTTTGATCGAACTTGTCAACGTATTTGTAATAATTGTTGAATTTGGTGGTACGAGCAATAAACGTCATCGTTGACGTAAGGTGCAAACGTTACCCTTTGCTTTGCAATAAAAACTTCTCGTAGGTTCTGACCAGAGATTTACAGTATATTAACATGCATACTTAGATAATCCATAAAATAGAATCGAAGGCTCAATTCAAAACTTTGGACCATAAAGGCTTTAAATAGTGTTGGCAAAGCCCTTTTCTGTTTTACTTCTTGTGTTACAAGAAAATTGATCATGTCTTTTCCAGCTCGTGCATTTTGAACGAAATCTTCGGATTCTTTGCCAATTTCAGTATCATAGGGTTTGCTAACTTCTACCACACAAATTTCATAAGGCTTTGCATTTGTGGTATATGCAATGCCATCGGCTCTATCAGCATTTCCGCTTTGACTTGTAATCAATTTTCTGTAAGAAGATGCTTCAATGGCCCTATAGCCACTAGGGATTTTTATTTACAGTAATAGTATATAAATAAATTTTTATTTTTATTTTTATAAATTATACTTAAAATTGCATAAAAAAGAAAAACACTTACGGCCTATAATTAATGTTAGAAAATCTCGCTAAAGCCTTTTTTAGTATTGGGTGAATATATATTGTCATATACTCATCTTCGCCTAGATCTCTATTTTTCAAAGGGTTATCTGGATGCATATATGAATCGAAACTAAAATAAAAAAGAAAGGTTAAAATTTGATAGACCAAAAGAATATCAATTGCAAATACCTAGCAAGATTGGAAGAATTTCAAACATAAATCTTTTTAAATTTTTTAAGAATGGGTCGGGTTCATGATCAAGCAAATTTTCAATTTCATTTTGCCATTGCTCATCGGTTAAATTCTATAAACAACAAAGGGCAATAAGTGAAATGCAAGAAATCAAGAAAATTTAAATAAACAGATAATACCTTTGAAAAGAATACCATAAGAAAATTAAAGGCTTTCTCAGGGAAAAGCTTATCGATTGAATCAAATACATCTTTAAGAAGCTTAGAATAATGTTCTTCCTTAGTATACATAAGAACAAACTCTGACGATGGTCTAAGATCCATGATCTCATTGATTATCAATAAATTTCGGGTGTATTTCTATACTCTTTGAAATCGCGAAGAAAACTTTGCACTTCTGGAGAGATTTCTTGAGATTCTCCTAAAAGATTTTTCGTAATAAAGTCTTGATCATCATTAATGTGGAGCTTCTAAAAAAGAGTGTAAATATTAATGTCAACAGTCTTAAAATTTAATCTTGTTTAGAAGAAATTATATTTAAGGAAACGTTACTTTCTTAACAGGTTCTTGATTGTCTTCAATATCATTAATAATACGTTTGTGATTATTATTATCTATTTAAATTTCAATAAATTAATAAAAATTTGTTAAAATTGCAGGTTTTTATTTAATGAAATACGTACTTTCTGATCCATTTTTGTTAATTCTTGAAGTCGATGCCTTATCACTTGCTATATTATCACATTCCTCGTCAAGTTCGTCATCTTCGTCTTGTATTTTCGAAGAACTGATGATGATTTCCCCGTAGAAGAGCTCATTGAATGTAAAGAAGAGAGCTTATCACAAGCCACATAAATATCAACCTCCGAATTGTATAGTTTCGCTTTAGTGTCCAACATCTTTTCATTAACCTATAAAGGCCAGTTAGTCTACATATATGTATATAAATATATCAAAGCAAAATTAATTTACCATTGTATCTCTTTCATCAATATACATCTTAACCCTTTTGGACTGGAAAAATCGATCTAACTCATCAGAAACTAATTTGCCTTAGTACGGACTTTCTTGCTCATCGAGTTATGAGTACTGAGTGAACAGAGATGAAGTCTTAATTCTGTTTTAATTTTTTCACAATCCTCGCTCGTAACATCCTCACACGCCTTTAAAACGGAATCGAAACAGCAAAAAAGATCCCATTTTCCATATGAAACCTCATGAAAGTAATCTACAATTACTTCCGAAATGTTCATCCTACAAAATAACAACCATTTTTAGTACCAATAATGAGAACAGTTTTGCATAGACGAGATGAGTATCTGGAAAGAGGCGTCAAGCTATTGTCACCAAGATTCTTAGGTTCTTAGTGAGGGCTCTGAGGACCTCATTCCATACATCGAACCGGAGTGAACAGGGTCCAACGGTCGTAGGATACCAATCTGGTCCAATATACAGGAAAGAAGCTGTCAAGCTGTTGTCACTAAGATTCTTAGGTTCTTAATGAGGGCTCCGAGGACTTCTTTCCATACATCGAACGAGGGAGCTCCACCCAAGTGGACAAGGTCCAACGAACGTAGGATATTGTTTATGCCATTAAGGAAAAAAAATTCAAAAATAAGAGTACATGACCTTTCAAATCTTTTACGTATTCAGTTCGAATGGTATAATAATTCAACCTGAAAATTTACAGAAAAAGACGCGTTTGTTGTGTTACGTTTCACATAATAGAACACATTTAGAAAATGATCATCATTAAGAGTTTTAGTCATTCTATGTCTGGTGGAAAATTACGTAGTTTGAATATGAGTCAGAGACTCTATGCTCTGCATATTAATTCATATTATTTAGGTCTAGGAATGAGGATCAAGAGTAGGCACGTAGTGCCATTTCTCCGAAATAGGCTATTACAAAATGAAAATTAATTAGGTTAGTTGGAAGATCGATTTATTCTTGAATTGGTTCAGATGTTGCTACCCAAGTATGGAATTATTATCGGGGTTGATTACTAAAAGAGATTTAACAATACTGTGATGACGCAAACCTTATTTTTAACACTTATTGTGAAACAAGACTTTAGGCGATGAATCTAAAATTCGAGGTTCTGCCTCTTCTTCGAATCATGTCAATACGTGTCTGTGCTTACTTCGCTAAACTTCATATTCATTCGTGGGTCAATGCGACAATCCCCTAAGCGATTCATTCATTCTTAGTCTGTTAAATGATTTTCTTCAATTATGCAATGTAATTAAGAATAGATGCTATTAATAAAGAAATGCCAATACCTGTAATATATGGTTATGTTTTCTATCAAGTTAAAAAAATCATTCTGGCATGGTCTACCAGGAGAAAGCACAACAGAATCCATATATTTATTGAATAGTATTTGTGAAGAAGCAAGAAAAAAGAAAAAAGAACTATGGATCCTTTTTCAAGATACTGCTAAGGTATATGACACAATATCTCTCTTTATACTTGAAAAAGCCATAGATCAGATTCAAATTTCAACAACTATCAAGAGGATTATAATAGATCTTTTTAAAGACAGAAGTTGTAGCATTATTATTTTCAATGGATTCTTTAATTCAATAGTTGTAAGAGATGGTATAGATTAAAGAGAAACAATCTCTTCATTGTTATGGAGAATTTTTTATAATCCATTGCTATATAAAATTCAAAATAATACTATACTGGGTTACACTATGGAAGAAGAATGGCTATCCAATTTTCATAAACCTGAGAAAAAGATCAAGCTCTTTCTAAGGCAGGCAATAATTGCATATATGGATGATACAACCTGGATCGTCAAATCAAAAAAAAGATCTAGAAAGTATTTTAAAAGAAATAAAAAAATTATACATAACAAATGACTTACAAATTAATGTAACAAAGTCAATTCTCCTTATCATTAACTGAAATTTTCAAGACCCTAGAATGGTTCAAGCTGGAATAGAAAATATTATAGTTATAAGATCAATAAAAAGGATCAAGTCAAATTTCTTGGTATTTGGTTAGGACCAAAACAGAAAAACCAGGATATAATTAGTTCAATAAAATCAGAAATCAGGATAGTAGTTTAGGCAATAACTAAAAAGAAGTTAACAAAAAAATATGTTTTATATATTATCAATAAAGTTTTGATTTCAAGAATAGAATATAGAATGAATATATATATTTAAATGAAAAGATATGTGATGATCTAACAGCTATATTCAAGAAAGTTTTCAAAAACAAAGCTTTAATCTGTAGAACAATTTCAAACAGTTGTATTCACAACAAAAAAATATATGATCTTAAAAATTTTTGGAAAATACAGTTGAAAAGCCATATATTAACACTATTCTATCAACTTAATAACATTAAAGTCTCTGGCATGACACTATAATCCAATTGAAACAGAGTCAGATCAAAGGCTAGGAATCTGAAAATATCTTTTATAATCCTGTAGACTTACACAAGCTGATTAAAAACAATCTGGTAGCTACAATATTGGTCCTAATCAAAGACCTATAGATTATATTTCAAAATTGAAGATAAAAGGAAATCTTTAATTACCAGGAAGATATCCTATTTATCAAGTCAATTATACAAAATTATAGAAAATATGAAAAAGTCATTTCATTACTATATAAGCATAAAATCATGTTTCTGGATCAAATTATTAATACAACCACGATAACACTTAAGGAATGGAGAGCAATCCAGATTCTCTTTAGCAAATGAAAAAGATCAGTCCCCTTTTGATACAAAAAAATCTATAAAAAAATGATAGAAAATCAAGATCACTTAAGAAAATTATTATATAAATAAAATTAAACAGACTACAATATGCAAACTGAAACATTTTTAATATAGCCAAATAAGAGAAAAATATATTGGACAGTTCACTCCAACTCTTTAACTAATATATTAGAAAAACATTATTCTCAAACAACAAAATCCAGTTCATCTATATCAGTTCTCATATAATTCTACTAGAAACTATATTCTACTTCAATCAAATAGATAATCTCAAGCATTAGAAGTAGTTTTATCACAAATCTACTTACTTCCGCAACTAAATAAATATAAAAATCTGAGAAAAGAAAAAAAAGTTCTCCTATCAGGCAATCCCATGAACTGACAAATAACTATAAAGTAATAAATATCAACTCTACCTATTTTCAGACCTCTAAAAGTGGAAATCCAGATAGAAAACTGGAAAGCTGTGCTAATAAGACAAGTCATCCAATTATATAAATATATAAAGGAACTTATAGATATCCTACAATACAATAGAAGGAGTACAGTTAATCAGTTCACTTTTTACATAGATGTCTCCTATAAAAAATAAACAAAAGATAATAAACTCTTGTTTGAGTTCTAATAAAAGATGACAAAGTTGAAAAACAATTCTCAACAGGGACATCAATATGGTCATTGACAACTAGGGCAGAAATATTGACCATTCTTACTATACTATTTACTGCTCCTCGAAATACAATAGTCTTAATTCTCACCAATTGTAATATTGCAATTAAGATATAGAAGTTTATCAGTTTATAAATAGAGATATTGTGATAAAAATAGCCTCTAATACTATTAGATAATTATTTTTAGTCATGATCTTTATTCTATTTTTATTTTTATCTATTTATTTATAACTATTTCTTTGATATTCTTTGATATTCTTATTGGGACTTGATTGGCACATATCACTTTATCAAATATAGCACGTGATATAATTTACCATAGATCAGGCAGCCCAGGAGATCCAAATGACCCAAGTGACTCATTTTTACAAGTATATAGCAGTCATAATTCGCTCAAAAGTAGAATAAGTTTGGATACAACTTCATTTGACTTTGGAAATTTAGAAATAACTTCACTTTTCTTTTAGGCGATTAGATATTTTCTTTTGATTTTAGGACTAAAGGAATTGCTCTAATTTTCTTGATTTATTAATAAACTGGGGTTCTGAGCAAATC